TAAGCTATAGGGACAAAATTAAGCGAGAATTGGCCTAGCCGTTCTGGGAATATGGTAGCATCTACTGTCATATGCTGTTTTGCAGAAAAAAAGGAAGAAACTCTTAGTCGGTCAGAACAACTGGCGCCACTAACACCTCCCACTTATCGCTACCTTGCTCACAAACTGTCAGAGCTGGGTAAAGATCATAGAGGCCATTTCGAACGCTTCCGGCATCAACAATTTGTGAGGATTGTATATTTCGAAGCGTCGCTTTGGTTAGCGCTTGATGGCTGAGTGGTCGATGGTAGCGGGTTCCTGGCCAGACCATTCTGTAAGATGTTCGCGAGCTCTGCATTGCACGGTGAAGAGTATATGCAGGTTTAATGACGTTCTCTATGAGCTTCAGCGTGCAGTCTCCTTCTATTTGAGCAAAGCACCCCGAAAGATCAACAATTATGTTTCCAAATCGTATATCAAGTTGCTGACGTTCAATATCACTCCTGGTATTATCCGCAGCGGTGAACACAGCCTCAATCAGCACATTTCGCCACTCACAGAACTCATGATGTCCTGTAAAATCTAAGGAACAATCAACTCAAAATCTTGGAAAATGCTCCGAATATCCCCGGGCATGTACGGTGGGGCAGTCAAGCATCCTCGGAGTTATCGAGCATACAGAAGGCTCACCTTTGGGGGTGCTATTGTCTAGCAATGAGTATCTGACTTCGTGAATCATGGCTTCCTCTCCTTTGGTAAACCCGAGTGGAAGGTATCGCTGGAAGAAATGTTCATTTAGAAGCTTCATAATCCATAGGTAGACGAAGAGCTTTTCATCGCAGCAGCCTTTCTTGAATTCGTTCACGAGCCCGCTGATATCGCCTTGCTCCTCACGGGTATAGATATCGAATGTCTCCCTTAGAGAGATCTTTCCCTCCGTAGTTGGCGTTTGAAGACGAGAGAAGATCGCGAGAACCATGACTACCCCGATTTGGTCGTCAAGGTATTGATTTACCCACTGTTCTATATTGGCTCGAAGAGAGATGTATGCTGCCTTGAGCAGGGTCAGCAGGGCGAGGTGATCACTGGGGTCAGCCAACCAACCTGGATAGTCTCCTTATCATTACCCAATGTGGGTAGCAAGTCAGCCAGGGCCAGACGCCCACTGTCACTAGGCGACGATCTTGACATTGTGGGTTTAATCGAGGCGGCAATTATCCAACTCGGACTTGTCAGGAGCTTGGAATGAGATTCTATTTTTCGAGTTCCTGTTTGAAGCTGCCGACTCAAGAGCTACCATGGAGAATTTTCAGCTATTTATATGCCAAACTCAAGTATCCATGAAGAGGTCTGCTTGTGAGGAGGATAAGCCAGCACACGCTTCATGTCAAAAATTCTCCGGACTGGTTTGTAGTCATGGCATTTCAGTGCCATGTTGTGAGAGCAATCTCCTGAGTCACTGAATGCTGTTACATAGGTATGAGTAGTTTTGCAGCCTGGCCTTCAGACTAAATTTGCTTATCGTGAACAGGTGACCAATTAGTCAGTAGTTAACCGGCTACTGAGTGTGATGAAGTCGAGAATGCGGCAAGGTAGGAACAGATTCTCAAGCATAATTTCAAATGATATACAGAATCAATTGAACTTCAAATACTCCATCTGGTTTTGCAAACCTTCAATATTGTGCAAGATACGCTCTCGCACAGCTGTTTGATATCATAATCATTACTGAAAGTCAACATTGCAATAAGGTCAAAATATGGAATTTTATTTCAGTCAGTAAACTATGCTTTTAAATTAACGCGTACTATAAATCCCCTGCATCATGTTATGAACTTCCAGGGGTAGATGATGATCTACCCTGATGGAGCCTTCTGATCAACGAAGAAGAAGGCCGGATTGAGAGGTTTCAATTCTTGAAGATCCTTAGTCTTGGCTTCCCATTTCAAACGGACTAGAGAATGATAGAGCGGTAGACGATGAACGTTCTCCACCAATACGGGGGCAACTACGGCAAGTGTGTCCACGTGCTTGAATTTCATTCTAGGAATATACTCCGGTTTGATTTCGTGGGGTGGATGGACGTTTCTCAAGTGATAATTATATATGGAGCATTTCATGAATCGGTGAAGGGCAGCAGCTCGCCAGACAATCTCGCGTCCATATTGCTTCTCGAGCCTTGCCTGATTGTCTTCTTCATACTCGAAGAACTGTCGAAGGGAGTCGGAGTGCCAGGCGCAGATCTCCCGTGTCTTTCGGTCATGCTCTTCCACAAAAGATGGAGAAGGTATGCTGGTTAAAGCAAACATCGTCTCGCCAAACCAATGGAAATACCTCAAGTTGCTTCGGCTGCCTATGTGGAACAATTATGAATAATGTTGTAGATAACAGTAAAAGAGCCAGAGTGCTTACCAGTGGCATCCTTCACCCGTTTAGTGAGGACGTCAAGCGGGCCTTTCCAACTCTCAAGTCCCAATGGATACTCTTGATCAAAAATGTCCTGGTTGATATTGTACATGATCCAGTGTGCAACATATGCCTTTGGAAGCACCTTCGTCTCGTGTACTCGTTGTATAAGATTCAAGTAAGCCGGCCGGATACGGTCCGATTTATACAGCTTTTCGTAATTTTGCAAACTAAAGAGGGCACTCAGCCGTCTCCAAGGTTCGTCGTCCACGCTCATGGCGGCGAAGGCATCTTCAACCCACTGCTCAATGGCATCAAGCAGGGATCTATATTCGGTAACCACATAGATATCTGTCTCCGGGCTGAGATTCCCATGCTCTTGTAAAGCGGACGGGACGACCGCATTCAGGCCCTCTGAAAGGCGATCATTTTGGCTATTCAAATCAAACTCGTCGCTCGCGCAAGATCCCGACGTATCACTTTCGCTCGGATCCTCGTCAAAGGATGCATCCTCAGAAGGCTGCTTGCCCTTGCCTTTCACCGCCACTGCCTCATTTCCAGGGGTCCTGCGTCTTGTGGCATCAGCCATGTTCAAGCTTCTTTCGCAGCCTGTCTAGGAGCTCCGGCAAGAATAAAAGTTGAAGCTATTGAGTATTGTGTATTTTTGGGTTGCTGCAAAATTACACAAAGAACACCTCGGTATTTATAGAGCTCAAATCATTTGTATGACAGCTTATAAAAGCGAAAATGATTCAAAATCGTGAGAACAAGATGAAAACCGACGCTTTGAACTATTATGTGGTCCTTCTCAACAGGTACAACGTTGCGCAAGCGGTTACTTGAGTCCCTTTGGTGTCACCGGATCAAATTCGAGTTAATCATTCAGTATTTGGCCTAAGTATTCTGTTCTGGAACAGACTATTCTTTTTCTTTTTTCAATCAAGGGGACCAATACAGATCCTCGACAATTGGCGCTTAAGAGTGACTAATTAAGAACATCAGACAGCCTAGGACAGCTGGTAACAATTACGAAACTGGTTCATGTGTAGAGCATCTAGACAGACGCTGAGTTTGTTCACACCTGCTATGTTTTTACCTGAAAGGCCTTAATCCACTAGGGATTTCTAACTCCCCTTAGATTTATATCTCCTGGTACGCAATTCTCCCACCTATTCGTCCAGTTCCTACTGCTTCTTTTAAAAACTTAGGGTTCTGGGAACTTTGGCTCGGCAATGAAAAATGCCGGGTGCTTAAGCACCAGACCACGGGCAATTCCTTCTTCCAATGTTCTCATACGAACCAACGCAGGATCATGTTGAAGACGGTAGACGAACTGCACATGCGCAGGATCTATCACGGCGAGAGTGTCAACGCTTTTGAACCGCGCTTGTATTGATCCGCCGAAAGCGCGCAATGTTGTAAACGAAGCGGTATCCAAATACCGCGCACTTCAAGAGCTGGTCGAACATAATGGCGCGGTTGATGATGTCGTACTTGTAGCGCTTTCCCAAAACGTCCTTGTTCTTGTCGCTATAGGCAAAAAAAACCATGCAGATGAGTAAGATGTCAATCGGTGATGGCATCAGTCTGATTTTTGCGGTCTCTTCTGAAGTTTTTCGTAGGCATGAGAGTGAGGCCCATCATTGTTTGGCCAAACTACTGGCGATATCTCAGAGAGTCTCGGTTTCCTATTATATCGTAATTAGTCAGAGTACAAGTACTTCCGGAGAGCAGAGAGCGGAGTTAGCCTTACCACTTGCGTTTGCTACTTGAACCTCCATGTTTCCACGGACTTTTGTCAAGTGCTCGCCAGTTCCCCTGGGAAATCTTTGATTGAAAAGATCCTCCCAGAGATTAAACATGATCCAATGAGCAACGTATGCCAGTGGCAGAGCGCCAGTGCTTTCCGCTCTGTGCATTAGAGTATAATATGTCTGCTGAATCTCCTTTTGATTGAACATGGTCACATAGAGATCAGATCCCCAAGCGCGTAATATCGTCCCCAGGACTCCTCATCAGCACTGGCAACTTTACTAGCGTCTTGCACCCACTTTTCGATGGCGTTGACGAGATCACACCACTGTATCAACATACAATAGTCGATATCTTTGATAGTAGTAGGTATATTGCTTGCAGGCATTGGAACTACCGCGGTCAGGCCGCTCAGTAGAGGCTTGTCTTGGTGCAGATAAGCATCTACTAGTAAAGAATACCATTGATCCCAGAATACACTTAGAATGGCCGCAACTACCAGGCTGATGTCTGTTACTGAGTAAAAGTGCTCGAAATCCAAAATAGGGGGTTGAATTGCGCCGTTGCCATAATTGGCCGGCCGCGCCCAGCCTTGCCCCACCATCAGCCTCGTGGCACTTCGTCATTCCGTCCAGGCACCCTGATTCCAGATTCATACCGTCCCCCATATCTCCCATACCAACGAACAGCTCCAAGACCCCAACGCAGTTTGACGATAAACAGTGGCTCACGCACTGCTCAAACACGGCACATTTAACGATCTGCCGTTCCTCCGATAGCCCGAAAGCCCGAGCGACCATCACCCGACCCCTACTCACCACACACCACACACCACACACAAGACACACCATCTCTCCGCCACGATGAACCGCCTCTTCGGCAGCGGCGCCAAAGGGCCCAAGCCGACGCTCAACGGCGCCATCAACAACATCGACGACCGCATCTCCTCCATCGACGTGAAGCTCGCCTCGCTCAACGCCGAGCTGTCCTCGTACCAGACCAAGCTCGCCAAGATGCGCGACGGGCCGGGCAAGACGGCCATCAAGCAGAAGGCGCTGAAGGTGCTGCAGCGGCGCAAGATGTACGAGGCCCAGCGCGACCAGCTGCAGTCGCAGGTGTGGAACATGGAGCAGGCGCAGACGATGCAGGACAACCTCAAGAACGTCATGACGACGGTGGACGCGATGAAGACGACCCAGAAGGAGCTCAAGAGGCAGTACGGCAAGGTCGACATCGACCGCATCGAGCGCCTGCAGGACGAGATGGCCGACCTGATGGACGTCGGCAACGAGATCCAGGAGAGCCTCGCGCGCAGCTACGACGTCCCCGAGGACGTGGACGAGGCGGAGCTCGATGCCGAGCTGGAGGCGCTGGGCGCCGAGGTCGATCTCGAGCGCGAGATGGAGGGCGGGGGCGCGCTGCCGAGTTTCATGCAGGATGAGGTGCCCGAGTTCATTGACGAGCCGCCCCAGACGGACGGCAAGATCCAGGAGGCGGCGAGGTAGTTGGGGTCAGGAAATGCTGAATTGGGTCTGGTCATCCATGCCGTCTGCAGGAATGCCTTAATCACGGCATGCTATGCGAGGGAGGGGTTTTCAATGAGGAAGATCAGTCTTAAGCAAGCACATATATCACGATTCACCAAACAGCCAGGATCATGAATGATATGGGGGGTTGGTTGGGGTTCATCTAACATTTTACGCTATTCGATACAATACAGCAACGGGCACAACCTGCCTGGTCGTCTCGTTCTCGTTCGTGGTCATGATAGCGTTTCCTTTCCATTTTCGATCGCCAAAGTTTTGTGATATGTGTGTGCCTCTCTCCCTCCCTCACACACTCTCGTTCTTTCTACAAACCAGTATCCGAAAATGAATGCCATTTCCGATGACCAACAAAACACCAGAGCCATGGAGACGGAAACAGAAGTTGGAAGAGGGATGAAAGCCTTCCATAAAATTGCAGTAACACGCCCACCATGAATGAAGTGCAAGACAGAAGTGAGGGGGAAAAACAAGACATCGTTCATCAGGACTGGCTCCCTAATATCGCCTTTGCAGGCTGACCCTAATCCTCTGATCCTCATTTCCCAATGTCCCTTTTTTGGTTCTGTGAAGTTGTGTGAAATCTAATTGTGTGGTTTTCTTCCCTTCTCAAGAGGGGAGAGAGACCAAGCCTCATTCCGCCACGCACTCGATCAATCCACAGTCGCGAAGAACTTGGCCGCCTCTTCCAGCTCCGGGTCGCCATTGCAGAAGTCCCAGCCCACAATCACGCTGGTCTGGCTACAACAGATGATCCTGCGGGCGTCGAACTGCAGCTTGTACACCCTAGCCGGGTTCGCTGCATCGGTAGCACCAGCGCCGGCGATATGCGGGTGATGCTGAGCCGCTGCCGCTTGGCCCGCCCCGTGTGGTTGAGCAGGCGCAGCAGCATTGTGATGAGGAGCAGCAGCAGTAGCCGCCGCCGCTGCCGGTATAGTTGGTGGAGCTCCGGATGCAGAAGCAACCGGATCAGCCTGAGCGATCAACTGCCCTCCTGCCGGGCCAGCGCTCGTCTCTGCCTGCGCCGACGCGTGTGCACTCGCATTGCCGGTGGTCCCAGTTGCGACAAGGGGCTGTTGACCCGCCTGTGCCTGCTGCGCACCAGACGCCGAAGACTCTCCCATCGTGGCCGGTCCGGCCGGGTTGATCGATCCCATGGCAGCTTGCTGTAGCCCAACCTGTCTGGCCCTTGCGTGGGCGAGTTGGGTCCGCACAAGCGCCGTGCTGACCGCCTGGCGAAGCTGCGACCTCACGAATGTGCTCGGCTCCCGGTCGATGGCAGCTTGTAGGTGGCTGTGTAGCGTCAGCATGGTAGGATAGCTGGCGAGTGCCTGCTGCAAGGCGTGGACGCCCTGTGGAACGATGAGGTCGATCAGCTGGGCATAGGACTGTTGAGATGAGGGGGTCATGGTCGCGATGATGGGTTCTTCGATCTGGACGATCTGGTTCGGGTGAGTGAAGTGTGGAATGGCCGGGATAGTTGACGGCCCTGGTACGACCGGGGCAACTGGCATTATGGCGCTGGGACCTGCAGTTGGGGCCGCAGGGGCAGCACTTGTGGCTGTAGGTGAACCTGTTCCGGGATTGGTACCAGGTGCAGCGGGTCGTACGGAGGGATGGAGTGGGATGATGGAACCTGGAGCGTTGTGGCGCTGAGCAGCTGTCGCCGCCTCTTCTTGCTTGAGGTGGTGCTGCGGCTTCCAGATGCCCTCCTTATCTCGTCTCCAGATAATTATGCTCTTATCATAGGATCCCGAGACAATTCGTCCGTACCTTCCACCTCCACCACCGGGTGGCAATCTAGCTCCGTACGCAGTGATGTCCTCCGGCCGTCTGCTACCGGCATTACCGGGTCGGCCTCGCTGGGGTGTGCTGGACACCTTGCCCTCTTCCAGTGCCTTGAAGTACGCCTCATCGACCTTCTTAGCTTCGGCGGCGTCCTCCTCGGCGCTGTACGGCAGGTCGCCAAAGCCAGCCTGGACAGTGCGCACCAGGTCGGAGTGGGACCTGAGGCTCGCAACCTCGACGCCCGACTGACGACAGAACACCTTCACCTCGTTGTCACTACTGCCGGAGACGATCCGCTTGCCGTCATACTGGACGCACGCGATGCCCTTGCCGTGGCCCAGGAACGTCCGCCGGCAGATACCGCTCTGCCAGTCCCAGACCTTGATGGATCGATCGCCACTAGCAGATACGACCTCCTTATCGACGATCTGCACGGCATTCACGGCGGCTCCGTGGCCCTCTAGGCTGCCAATCATGGTATAGGCGGGCTTGATGGGAAGTTGGTCCAGAGCGGACGGTAGGTCGTAACCGTAGTTCTTCAGGTGAACGGGTACGGGGTTGACGGGGAGATCGCCATAGCCGGGGTCGCCGGGGCGGAGGGGTCTGCGGTTGAATATCTTGATGCTCTTGTCTTTGGAGCAGGTGACAAGTATCCGCTTGTCAAACTTGACATTCAAGACAGACTCGCGATGTGCCTTACGCAGACGCTGAATCAGTCTGCCGGTGGAAAACTCCCAGAGGATGACATCCGAGTCGCTGCTTCCCGACACGATGAGGTTCTCGTCGGGGTCTGAGTCGAATTGTAGACACAGAACTGAGCCATTGTGGCCTACTAGCGGATCGCGAACCAGCCTCCTAGTCTGTAGATTCCATATCCGTAGCGTCCGGTCTCGACTGCCGCTGACGAGGTATTCTGAGTTGTACTGCAAGCTGTAGATGCATTCATTATTGTGTCCTTCCTCCGGGTGGTCGGGATGGGGTAGCTGGAAGTTTTTGAACTTTCCGAGCTCCCAGTTGGACTCGAGCCTCCTCCTCAGGGTGTAGAGATACTTCCAGTTGATCTTGTAGCGGCCTGACGCAGAATCCCACATCCACAGCGTCGACTTTGGTAGTCCGGCAGGGAGCTCAGACGGTACCATCTCGGGCAGCGAGTCTTCCTTGACGAAAGTAGGGTTCAGAGGGGGCGATAGGGCCTTGCCCTTGCCTTTGTCGATGCTCTTCCCCTTGGCCGAACTCCAGCTCGAGCCGGAGCCGCCCATGTCGAGGTTGCCCATCGCGGGAGTCATGGAGCTTCTCGTCATGTTGCCCGGTCCCCCGAATATGCTGCTCCCTTCACCCATCTCGACGTCCCTTGGCTCCTGGCGGAGAGGCCGATCGAGATCTGACATGATGTAGTCCCGGTCATTGTCCATGCGCGGAGACAACGATATTGCCCGCTTCTTGAAGACATGGCCGTCTTCTGACGATGTCACTCGTTGGAGTTGTCCCTGAGCGGACAGATTAAGCCCGTCGTTTACCTTCTCCTCCCAAGCCTGGATCTCTGACGTGACGGCCTTCCATCCCTCGAGGTAGTATAGCTTCTCCCACAGCTTGCGGTCCAGGGCCAGATCGTACCAGGCTCGGCATGTCTGTGCGACGTGGATGAGGGAGACAGGGTCGAGATAGCCCAGGATCTTGAGGCATATCTCGGCGGGTAAGTGTCTTATGAAGTCGATGTAGAGGCGGGGGTTCAGCTGGATGACGATCTCGGCGATGACGCTGGTGGGGAGTTCGTCTAGGAGGGCCATGGCCAGTTCTATGCGAGGAGGATATCATGTCAGCTCAGTCAACTCGACTCGCCAGGGGTTATTCGCAACAGTGAGGGGAGGTTTGAGGTGGCGTGTGAGAGATCACATCACGCGAGGCTCGAGTGGCATGCATACCTGTCTTTGTGTTTACGGAGAGGCTGGCGAGATGCCTCGACAGCCAGGTGGAGAAGTCGGGGGAGGATCTGAGGGCGGCGAGGGCGGCGCTCTCCTCTCTGGACTTTGCTGAGAAGGACGCGGTGGAAGAAGAGTTCAGAGGAGCCTCGGAGTAGCCTTCGTCGGCCTGCTGCGATGTCGGGTATGCGTCGTCCATCGTCGCGGGATGGCGGCGGGCCGCAGCCACTTGCTCTTTGCTGGGGGGGAGATATCTCGTCCCACCTCAAGTCCTTTCGGATGGGGGGGACGGATGGACGGACGGACGGACGCACGTTCGGCGAGGTTGGCTTGCGCTCGCTGGCTCGGGTCTGAAGGCCGACTGAAACTCGGTGCGTCCGGAGGTCAGAGTGAGCGAGAGAGTGACGAAGGGCGCGGCTGACTGCGGTAACGTTAACGTTATGGCACGGCTGCGGGTGCTCTAAGTTGGCTGCTGATCTGCGACGACTCTGCTCTGGGGTAAGTGAGTGAGAGGTGGTTGGATATTGGAATTCAGCCAGCGAGCGAATGTTGTCATTTACGACGGCGATCGTGGATGTATGTGTATGTGTATGTGTA